CTGGGGTTGAGGAAAGAGCCATGGGGAGTGGCGGCAGGACCAAAGGAGGGGGCATTGCCTGGATGGACGACACCTGCAAGAAAGAGGAAGTGAGCACAGGATAATAGATTAAAATAAAAAGAAGGGGGGGGGAGAGAACGATGAGTATATTTCACATCAAAAGAATGATGACTCCCAAAACAAAAATATTTCCAGGGTAAAATGGAATTTAGCCACAACATGTTTTCAAGTGCCTTGATTAGTTTTCTCTCATAACCCCTGTATTAAGGTAAGGCCTCCCTGTTCAGGTTTCCAGACAGAAAACTGAGGAAAGCATAAAGGCTAACATTATGGGTCTTATTATCAAAACACCCAAGTGCCCAGCAGGTAGGCAAGGCCACCCTTGGAATACTGCATCCAGTTTTGGTCACAATGTAAAAATGATGTTGAGACTCTACAAAGAGTGCAGAGAAGAGCAACGAACATGATTAGGGGACTGGAGGCTAAAACATACAAGGAACGGCTGCTGGAATTGGGTATGTCTAGCATCTAATGAAGAGAAGGAGGAGGGGGAACATGATAGCAGTGTTCCAATATCTCAGGGGCTGCCACAAAGAAGAGGGAGTCAACCTATTCTTCAAGGCGCCTGAAGGCAGGACAAGAAGCAACGGGTGGAAACTGATCAAGGAGAGAAGCAACCTAGAACTAAGGAGAAATTTCCTGACAGTTAGAACAATTAACCAGTGGAACAATCTGCCTCCAGAAGTTGTGAATGCTTCAACACTGGAAGTCTTAAAGAAGAGATTGGACAGCCATTTGTCCGAAATGCTTTAGAGCAGGGGTGTCAAACTCAATTTCATTGAGGGCCGCATCAGCACTGCGGTTGCCCTCGAGGGGGGGGGCAGGGTGGGTGCGGCCTACTGGGTGGGCGTGGATGGAGTGGGTGTGGCCTACTGGGTGGGCATGGCCAGCTCTACATCGTTCGCGTCAAGGGGGCCTGTGGGGGCCTGGGTGGGAGTGGGACAGATCTGAGGGTCTCTGGCAGAAGGGGGTGGGACCGGGACAAGCGCCAAGGCATGGTGTATTTCTTCATTCCTCACAAAGGGTGACCCCTCCCCAGCATGCACCCAGGGGGCGGGGCCGACGCAGCAGGGGCTGGTTCCTCGCTGTTTCCGGACGGCCTTGTGGAGCTAAGACTGAATGCGTTTCAGCATAGATGGCCACCACAAAATTGTACATTGGCTCCCGGCCAGCCTGGGCCAGGGCCAAAGCAGCGGGGGCCGTTCCCTCACTGTTTCCAGGATGGCTTTGCGGGCCACATGAAACCACTTCGCGGGCCGCATCTGGCTCCCAGGCCTTGTTTTTGACATGTCTGCTTTAGGATTACCTGCCTGAGCAGACGGTTGGACTAGATGACCTCCAAGGTCCCTTCCAACATCATCATCATCATTATTATTATTATTAAATGGCACAATTAGTTGTAGTGGCAAAAAGTGGGCAGGGTGAGCTTTTAAGAAGTCTCCGTTATTTAATCGTCAGGGAAAAGCCTTCCAGTATTTGCAACAAGGGCACTGACCAGCGGCTGTGAAGAGGGTGGCAGGGCGTGCCAGCTCCTGGCTGTGGGGCAGACTGCCGAAGGCTCCGGTCTCAGGCAAGCCAGTGAGGAGGTCATTCCGGAAATCCAACTTATGGGGATCACCCTGCATCAGCTGTGAGAAGACAGAAGAGCAAAAAAAGTCCTGGTCAGCGGCAAGTCACGCACAGGGTTCAATCCAGCCGGCCTCAACGCTAGACTTTGGCAGAGACCTCGCCTATTCTGCCTCACAAGACTCTCGCGGTTCTGCTCTCCGACCTCTAAACCCAGTGCCACGAGCCCCAATTTGGATCCAGCACGGGAGACGTCGGAAGAGCAAGGTTTTCCTCTCCGGTTGGCTGCAGGGACCTCCTGTGCCACACCCCAACACTGTACACAGCAGGTGGAGGGGAAAGGTGGCCCAGGCTCACCCTACCTTTATTTTCTCCTGGTGCCGCAGGATCATATATGCCACACGGACGTGCATGGCGCACCACTTCCCCGGCTTCTGCGAGAGAGGGGGGGGAACCATCAGCTCTGCACGTTATGTCCCTGAGGGCCAGGCACATGTTGCCCTATACCCTGACCTCTTCGCTCTCCCCACTCCGGGGTGTGTCTCCCCCGCCCACCACTTCTAGTCCTTTCACCTCACGTTATCCCACCCTTTTGCAGTGGGATCAAAGAGCGTCCCAACGTTACTCACTCTCAACGTCGGCCTGAAAGGATCGGTGATCTGCAAGGAGACAGGAAAAAAAAACAACACATGGGGGGGTGGGCAATCCTCTCCCCGCTGTCCCTGCCCATTCTCCCAAAAAGAGGGTAAACTCACCTGGCTGCCTTTCTGGGACATGCTGGGTGGGACCGCACCCAGCCGGGAAGGCAGGTCAGGATTAGTGCTCTGAGGAACCAAAGAAGCAAAACGGATCCTTAAGTATAAGCACAATCGGTTGATTAGCATTCCCTAGCATAGACCGTCTTGAAATCGTCCCCCTCCAGCTGCGGAGTTCAGGAACGAGGAGCTCAAAATTTCAGCTTCTTCCACTGGAATATTCTAGTTTCACATGCAAGTTGCCAAGGAACTGTAATTCCTTTTCTTAACTACCAAATTATTGGCAGACACAAAAGGGCACCGCTCTGTGAAAGCATATGCCAGGGCTTTTCAACCAGTGGTTGCATTGGAATCTATTATTTTAAAAAATCAAAGCATGCAAATTGGCATCATTGCAAGAATTAACCATAACTAAGGGAGCGAATGGGCATTTTTAGCACCTTCTAGCTGTCCTATACACCAGGACTTTTCAACCAGTGGTACAGGTACCACCCGTGGTACATTGGCACCTGGCAGGTGGTACGCGACCATCCTAGAAAAGTGGTAGCGGGGGAGGGGAATGAGCTGAACCGGTGGCAGCACCGCACAAGCCTGAGCGAGAGATGGCTGGAGCTGCAGGGCTGTCAGGGCTCAGCGGAAGCGCCAGGATCAGTGCCGCTTTCCAGCTGATCGGCACTTCTTCGGGGCTGTCAGGGCTCAGTGGAAGTGCCAGGATCAGCGCCAGGTTCCAGCTGGAGCTCGCCGCTGATCCTGGTGCTTCTGCTGAGCCCAGAAGAAGCGCCGATCAGCTGGACTGTTGCAGCATCTCCAGGGTCTTGTGATTTACATTCAGATGCTTGGCAACTGATTCATATTTATGACGGTCACAGTGTCCCAGGGTCATGTGAAGTGACCAAAACCTGCTGCAACCACCCAGCAGACGGGGGGAATAAAAACCAAACACCCCCCACCCCACCCCCACTGCCAATCCTCAACAGAAATCTCACAACAATGAAAACTTCGGACAGGAGGAAGAGCGCCGCCGGATGGGCAGGCAGGCGTCTTGCTCGGCTGTGGCTTGGGGGGGGGGCATTTTTTTCAATGCCATTGTAACTTCGAACAGTCACTAAGTGAACTGTTTTAAGTCGAGGACTACCTGTACTTTATCACTTTTTTCTGGGGGGTTTTTTTTTGGCTCATCAAGTTTTTGACACCTTGCTAGGCAACTGGTGGTACTCGGATGTTGCCATCTCCTAAAAGTGGTACAATGGGTGAAAAGGTTGAAAAGCCCTGCCATATGCAACCCCACAGCTTTTTTTCAAAACGTTGAGTTCTCTCTTAAAGTTCACGGCTGAATGGGCGCATCAAACGCTTGCCCTCTCGTGCTCAGACGCATTGATCTGCATTCTTTTTTTGATTGCCGTGATTCCCTCATCTATCCCACCAAACCCGCCGCGTGCAGAAAACTCAAGCATCACAGTCCTTGATCCAGCTCCCCCCCCCCACTACAACATGCAAAAGGCCTCTATCACCAGAAAATAAGCAGAAAAGCCGGAAGCTCTGGATTCTAAAGCTTTCTCTCCACTCAAACTTCCACAAAAACCCCATTTTGTCCACTGCGTCGGGAGGGTTCACCTTAGGTTGGAATGCCCCCTGCAGGGAGCCAAAATTCACAGCAGGAGGCAGGACCGGGGAGATCCCCGACACGGTTGGGGGGTAGGCAGGATAAAACTGGAAGAAGAAGAGAAAGCAATGGAAGCGCCACCCAGAGAACTCAGGCAGGAGAGGGTTCTGCTCCTTGCTCAGGATGCAGTTTGGTAAATTTCATCGGGGTCCCTTTAAAAGGCCAGCCCCTCCTCCGAAATGAATGCACTTACATTATGTCTCAGAAGCCCATCCATTTTCCCAGGGTACTTCTCATACTGCGGGAAAAGAAAAGAAATCAGAAAAGACCTGTTTAAATGGGTCAGGCAGGTCCCAGGAGATGGGAGGAAAGAAAGAGAATTGTCAGGCCCCAAAACCAGGAAAGACACGTGGTGATTCTCCCAAGCAAAGTTCTTTATTGTTCCGTGCCTACAGACAGAATCTTGCCAAACTAAAGCCCTCTATTCTCTACATCAAGCACACATTCTGAGAACTATTAGGGAGGGGCTGTCTTCACCCTCTTTCTCTCACACAAAATATCTGGACTGAGCTGCCTCTTATTCCTCTGGGATGCGCCCCTCCCTCCTGGAACGCCATCTCACTACATTGCCTCTCAAAAATCCTTTTAAACTAACCTCTGAATTCTGATAGACCAGGGGTAGGCAACCTTGGCTCTTTTAGGACTCGTGGACTTCAACTCCCAGAATTCCTGAGCCAGCCATGCTGAGGGGAAAGGGAGAGGTTTCCAAGCTGAGCCCTGCTGGCTCAGGAATTCTGGGAGTTGAAGTCCACGAGTCATAAAAGAGCCAAGGTTGCCTACCCCTGTGATAGACCAAGTTAATCCCACTAGATGCTGTTAAGACCCATGAGCCGTGAAGCCTTGCCTGCCACCTCACTTCAGTCTGTACTGCACTTACCATGGCTGGGCTGGGTGTGGGCACCATGCTTGACGGGAAAGGAGTGAAGTGCTGGTGGGTGTGCTGGTGGGTGTGCTGGTGCTGGTGGTTGTGTTGGTGGAACTGGAAAGCCAGAGGGCGGATGGCAGCAGCTCCCATGTCGGCCCCGCCTTGCGTCGTGAGGAATCGGGAGCTCAAGTCCTGGCGGATTAATTCTTGTTCTGAGGAGACAAAAAAACAACCCGTAATTGCCAACTTGTCAGGAGAAAAGGAACCAATGCTGAAAAAAAGAGAGAAAAGATTTGACTCGCCCCCCTCCCCACAACTCTCCACCTCTCCATGTACAGGAAGTCCTCGGCTTATGACCGGTCGCTTAATGATCAAGTTATGACAGACCACCCCAGAGCGACTTAAGAACCATTTTCAAAATTATATGGCTGCACACTACCACCCCAGGGTCGTGTGGTCACATTTTCAGCACATTTTATTTATCTATTTTCGAACATTTATATAGCTGCCTGCTCGCTCACAGCGACTCTAGGCATACAAACAGTAAAAATACAAAATAGAAAATAAAAATAAAAATAAAAGAGATAGAAATAACGAAGAACCCACCCTGGCAACAGCACACAATTAAATAAGCCACTTGATGGGGTCAATTGCACTCTGGGTTCCCTGGGCCTGCTGGCAAAACCACGTCTTCGGAGCCTTCTGAAAGACTGCCAAAGTGGGGGCCAGTCTAATTTCTGCAGGGATGATGTTCCAAAGGGAGGGAGCCACCACAGAGAAGGTCCTTCTTCTGGGTCCCCAAACATTCTTTGCCTCCCCTCTCTTTCACCTCTACAGCTGTTTGCGGCATTCCGTGGTGACATGACCATGAATTGCAATTGCTTTTTTGCCATTTTCTGGCATTCGCTTCTGGTTTGTGGCAAAAATGGCCACTGGGGATGGGGGGGGGGGGGAAAGGTTTCACTTAACAACCCTTGTAAAAAAAAGTCATAATTTCAAATCTAGTCACCTGATACCCGGACTTACAACTGTAATGACTTACAACAGTAATTCCAGATTCAATCACAGTTGTTAGTTGAGGACTATTGGTATCTCTGCTCTATATGGTGGCTCCTAATTTTCCTACAAGTATCCAACTAGTCCAGATTTTGTATCTTGCCAGTCTTTCTCCAATGATTCATCATAATTTTCCAAAGCCGTACAGTCCTATTAGTTTACAGCCTCCACATATCCTCTGATAACCTTATTCTTTTTAGTTTCCCTTTGAAAGTAGTTTCCCCCCCCCTTCTTCTTGTTTCACGTTGCCAGTTTGTATTCAAACTGTTCCTTCAAAATTAGGACTAGAAATTAAGCTTCCTTAAAATACTCTTATGACTACCCACTACATAGAGTCTTAAAGCCAGGTTGTACAACTTCTGGTTCCTAGAGCAAATCTCAAACTTGCCAGTAAATTGTAACGTTTAACGTAGTAAAAGAGTGCAATTATGAAATTGAAATGAAACATTTATCTTAATTATCTTTAAATTTGACTGTCATTAAAGTGATATCAAAACAAAGTTAAGTTTTTGTCCCAGTTCTGTCATGCTTATTTCATGGGACATGATAGCAGTGTTCCAATATCTCAGGGGCTGCCACAAAGAAGAGGGAGTGAAGCTATTTTCCAAAGTGCCTGAAGGCAGGACAAGAAGCAACGGGTGGAAACTAATCAAGGAGAGAAGCAACTTAGAACTAAGGAGAAACTTCCTGACAGTTAGAACAATTAACCAGTGGAACAACTTGCCTCCAGAAGCGGTGAATGCTCCAACACTGGAAGTTTTTAAGAAGAGACTGAACAGCCATTTGTCTGAAATGGTATAGGGTTTCCTGCCTGAGCAGGGGGTTGGAGTAGATGACCTCCAAGGTTCCTTCCAACTTTTTTATTATTATTATTATTATTATTATTATTATTATTATTATTATTATTATTATTATTATTATTATTATTATTATTATTATTATTATCATCATCATCATCATCATCCTCCAGCATGCAATTCAAAGATCAAATGTACTTCTGGGTCCCCAAAGTGCTTGTGCCCCCACTGCTCTAAACCATAGATACAATTCGGCCAAGAATACTTTATGAGAGTAGAATATTCTACACCCATACATGTAAGTCTTCAATTTACGACCATAACTGAGCACAAAATTTCCATCACTAGGGAAGACAGTTGTTGAGCGAGTTTTGACCCATTTTTTCATTGTTTAGTGAATCAACTGCAGTTGTTAAATTAGTAACACGGTTGTTAAGTGAATCTGGCTTCCCTATTGACTTTGCTTGTCAGAAGGTCGCAAAAGGTGATCCCATGACCCCGCAACGGTCATAAATATGAACTAGTTGCCAAGCACCCAAATGTCGATCATATGACCATGGGGATGCTGCAAGGGTCGTGTAAAAAACAGCCATAAATTACTTTTTTCAGTGCTGTTCTAACTTTGAACATTCACTACACGAACGGTTGTCAAGTTGAGGACTACCTTTCTGGCATACATTTTTATGCTGTTTTTTTTTTGTTACAAACAGTTTGCATCTAAATGCATGTATGCCTGTATCCTGAAATATATATACACAACGTAGGCTAAACCAGGCGTGTCCATCCAGCAGCCTGCGAGCCACATGCAGCCCTGGACAGCTAGTAAGACAGCCCCACAAGGTAGAACAACTAACCAGTGGAACAACCTGCCTCCAGAAGCGGTGAATGCTCCAACACTGGATGTTTTTAAGAAGAGACTGGACAGCCATTTGCCTGAAATGGTGTAGGGTTTCCTGCCTGAGCAGGGGGTTGGACTCGATGACCTCCAAGGTCCCTTCCAACTTTATTCTTATCATTATTATAACATTGTTATGTTATTTATGTACATTATATACTTTATATGCGTGCCAAGGCAATCCCTCTTCGCTCAGTGCAACCCAGGCAAGCCAAAAGGTTGGACCCCCGTGGGCTAAACAGTTCAATCTTGTTTTATTCCTTCTTCTCGTCAATTTAGCCCCCCCCCCCCCGGCCAATCTTCCCAAAGCCCTTGTCACACCCAATCGTTCCCCTCCATTGAATTCTCTCTTACCAGATATGGCAGCGGCTGCAGCTGGGTGCCCAGCAACTTGAAGCAACGGGGGTGGCGGTGGGAGGCCAGGCGAGGGGGTGAACATGCCTGGGTGGTGGTGGGAAGGGGGCCGAAGGGTGGAGGAAAAGGCGTGGGGGGGCAGGGCCAGCGAGGGGGTGGAGGGCCGGTGAGGGAGTTGAGAAGAAGGGGAGCAGGGCGGGAGGATGGGCTTGGGGTGAGCTGCACCGCGGCTGCACCTGAAAAAGGGAGACAAAATAAATATATACTTGGAATGCCTCGGTCAGGAAGAGACAATATGGATGGAAATACAGAGACGGTCAAGAAAGCCGTCTTTCATTGGGCTCTGAGAGACTCGGGTTTCCATCTCAGTTCAGTAACGATGAAATCAGCTGGGATGTCTTGGATTAGAAGCTTCATCCAGCATCCTATCCTTAGTAATAGCACACAGGGAACAACGGGGATAAGGTCTCGTGGAATGGTTATCAGTACAAGCCAGGGCACTATCTACTCAGAATAAACTTTTTTTTCCCCTCTGGCTGAAAAAATATGGACCTTATGTCTTTTATTATCTAGGAGTCCACTGTTTCAGGAAGCTGTCCTTTAGATTTTTAGTTTTATTTTTTTTAAAAAAAGACACCTCTTTCTAAAGAAAGAAATGAGAAAAACGTTGAGAGAACGAGAGAAAGTGCAGCCCGAATACACGATGTGGTTATTAAATACATGGAAAAGAATTAGGTTAATAAATATAATTTAAATTAAAATATTTAAAATTAAACATCAGTTAAAGTTTATTTTCTTTCTACCCACATTTGAAGAATGTTATCTGGCATGCCACTGAAACAGCTCATGCAGCCTCTGGCTGAAAAAAGATGGACCTTATGTCTTTTATTATATAGGAGTCCACTGTTTCAGGAAGCTGTCCTTTAGATTTTTTATTTTTTTTTTTTTTAAAAAGACACCTCTTTCAAAAGAAAGAAATGAGAAAAACATTTGAGAGAACGAGAGAAAGCGCAGCCCGAATACACGATGTGGTTATGAAATACATGGAAAATAATTGTGTTAATAAATATAATTTAAATTAAAATCTTTAAAATTAACCGTCAGTTAAAGTTTATTTTCTTTCTACCCACATTTGAAGAATGTTATCTGGCATGCCACTGAAACAGCTAATGCAGCCTCTGGCTGAAAAAAGATGGACCTTATGTCTTTTATTATATAGGAGTCCACTGTTTCAGAAAGCTGTCCTTTAGATTATTTATTTTTTTTTTAAAAAAAGACACCTCTTTCAAAAGAAAGAAATGAGAAAAACATTTGAGAGAACGAGAGAAAGCGCAGCCCGAATACACGATGTGGTCACTTCAACTGTGGGGTCTCATCCTTATCATAACCTCACTGCAGGGAGCAAGCTAGGCCAGTGATGGCGAACCTTTTAGAGACCGAGTGCCCAAACTGCAACCCAAAACCCAGTTATGCATCGTCAAGTGCCGGGTGGGTGTGGCCCATTGGCTGGGTGTGGCCCATTGGCTGGGTATGGCCCATTGGGTGGGCGTGGCCCATTGGGTGGGCGTGGCTGCGGTGGTAATGGCAGACTGGGTGGGACTAAAAAGTTCAATCCATCAATGCCAACTTTGCGAGATCTTTTTTTTTCCCCCGTGAGAAGTTGAAATTGACTGATTGAACCTTTTTTTGGGGGGGGGGGCACACGGCGGCGGAGGCCTAAAGCGAAAAGGGTTTTATAAAACCCAGCTGAAGGCCTGGGACGACGGCGCACGTGCCCACAGAGAGGGCCCTGAGTGCCGCCTCTGGCACCCGTGCCGTAGGTTCGCCACCACTGAGCTAGGCTATTCTCTCCATTTTAAGGAGTTAACTCCTCTTCAACGTAGCTGTAGCAATATACAAACTATCTACAGGGCTGCTATAATAAGGATATACAAAGAGCTCTCGAAAGTTATGAATAAGACATAAAGGCAGGGAGGGAAATGTCTCGAAGAGGACAGAAGCGACAGCAGTTAAAAGGAAATTAAAAACGATGAAAGTGTAGAACAGGGGTAGTCAACCTTGGCTCTTTTATGACTCGTGGACTTCAACTCCCAGAATTCCTGAGCCAGCTAAGCTGGCTCAGGAATTCTGGGAGTTGAAGTCCACGAGTCATAAAAGAGCCAAGGTTGACTACTCCCTGGTGTAGAAGGAAGAAGAACAAAAGGACAGAAAACTAACACGGGGGACAGAAGAAAAGCTTGAAAAAGACGAACAGGTAAAGAGAGTGAAGGGTGGGGGGGGGAAACAGAGAGACGGCATCAGGACTCACCCTCCAGTGCTGAGGTCGAGCCCTACAGAGTACGGGCCCTGGGTCTGGCTGGCAAAGGGTGGCACCTTCATGTGCAGTTGGCTCTGGGCAAGGCTGTGGGTAACTGCTCCACCCTGAGGCATCGGAGGCAGCTGGCCTTTGGGCTGGGGCGTCCCACGAACAGTGTTAGGTGTCTGAGCCCGAGTCTTGACAGGAGGTGGGGCAGGAGGACTTGGAGGCAAGGCCTGAGCCAGAAGAGGGGCAGTGGCTGCCTGAGAAGGGGGTTCCTTAGGCAGGAAAGGCACAAGCAGGGAGTCCCGGTCAGCCTCGTAGTTACGCTCCTGGCTCCGTTCCAGGCCAGAGACTTTCGGGATCACAGACAGTTTGGCTTCACAGCTCCCGTTTAATGCACCAATGGGTCCCGAGGCTGCCAGGAAAAAAAAAAAAATGCAAACAGAGAAAACAGGAATCAGGCTGTTGGAAAAAGGCTCAACAGATCGTGTTGGGTTTTAAAACTTTTGGGGGTGGATCCCCATTTCACCGGCTAGTCAAATCTGTTAGCTGCAAATGCCGATGTACACAAGAGTACGCGATAGTAAGTAACGAAGGGGAGGGGGTACATTGCATGTTTTAAAAAAATGCCACGAAAATAGCAGAGGCACAATGAATCAAAACCTTCCAGCAACAGAGGTGGCAACTGTCACAAAACCGTCCAGCAACAATATCATGGTTGATACTTTGGACCCCCAGTTAGGAGCAGGGCGTCTTAGCACCCTCAGTAAAATGTGCCGAGGGACACTTCTGCAGTAACCTTCAAGCAAAGTACTCCTTTAGCTATCAGCGTGGCCACACCAGGAAGTAATAATAATAATGATAAAGTTGGAAGGGACCTTGGAGGTCATCTAGTCCAACCCTCTGCTCAGGCAGGAAACCTTATACCATTTCGGACAAATGGCTGTCCAGTCTCTTCTTAAAAACTTCCAGTGTTGGCGCATTCACCGCTTCTGGAGGCAGGTTGTTCCACTGGTTAATTGTTCTAACTCAGTGATGGCGAACCTTTTAGAGACCGAGTGCCCAAACTGCAACCCAAAACCCACTTATGCATCGTTGAGTGCCGGGTGGGTGTGGCTCATTGACTGGGTATGGCCCATTGGGTGGGCGTGGCCCATTGGGTGGGCGTGGCTGCAGTGGTAACGGCAGACTGGGTGGGACTAAAAAGTTCAATCCATCAATTCCAACTTTGCGAGATCTTTTTTTTTCCCCGCGAGAAGTTGAAATTGACTGATTGAACCTTCTTTTTGGGGGGGGGGCACACGGCGGCGGAGGCCTAAAGCGAAAGGGTTTTATAAAACCCAGCTGAAGGCCTAGGACTGGGGCGACGGCGTGTGTGCCCACAGAGAGGGCTCTGAGTGCCGCCTCTGGCACCCGTGCCGTAGGTTCACCACCACTGTTCTAACTGTCAGGAAGTTTCTCCTTAGTTCTAGGTTGCTTCTCTCCTTGATTAGTTTCCATCCGTTGCTTCTTGTTCTGCCTTCAGGCGCTTTGGAGAATAGCTTGACTCCCTCTTCTTTGTGGCAGCCCCTGAGATATTGGAACACTGCTATCATGTACTTTGCTGTGAAGGTTCATGCAAATGCGCCTTCACGGCACTTTATGGAGGGACCAAGGAGCGGTTGCTTCTCATTGGATGGAGAACACCTCTCTTAGCGAAAGTTGGGTCTGTGCATGTGGAGAAGCCAGTTCTGCAATCAAAGCCACCAAACAAAGCACATCAGCCTTCCCAATCCTGGCTAAGCTTTTTGCAGAGACACAAGTGATTCCGGTCTACGAGGTTCTTTGCTTGGGTTGAAACAGTGGTGACCCGCACAGGGCTCCTTAATACTACTACCACATAAACATATTCTTTTTCTGTTCAGCTGTTCCTTCTAAACCTAAGATCTGGTTGGCTCCCATCCTGATAATGTTCAGGAACCTTTTAAAACCCTAGTTTCCCTCTTAAGCTTTGGGGCAGGGTGCAGGATGAGATCCTGCTAGATGTATTTTGGGGGACTATTCGTATTTTTTTTGTCTTTTTTACTTTTTAAGTGTAAGCTGCCCAAACACATAGGGAGTTGAACAACCTATGAATTGTATAAGTAAATAATTACAAGCATCAGGAGACAGAGGACCTAGTATAGGCTGTGAAATGAGACAGGTTTTTTCCCCGATTCCTTGTTGATGGATAAGATAATGCTCATTATTATAAACCTGGTTAGAACTATGTTCTAAACTGAACAGAGAACACTTATTTTGTTTTAAACCATACAAACCCAGTTTCTCCAAACTGCCCTGAAGACAGCAACACAGGACGTTCAGCTGGCATGATAACCGGGTAGGTTGGGAATTCTAGAAGCTGCCATTCCTACCCAGATGGGGATACTTTTGCCAACCGTAGCTCTCTCTCTCACAGTAGTTTCCACCATCTAAGGCGGAGGAAGATATTCCACCCCACTTGCTAACCAATTTTTTTTAAAATCAGATGGACTGAGTACTTGGTATAGGTCAAGGGTAGGCAACCTTGGCTCTTTTATGACTCGTGGACTTCAACTCCCAGAATTCCTGAGCCAGCATAACTCTGCTGGCTCAGGAATTCTGGGAGTTGAAGTCCACAAGTCATAAAAGAGCCAAGGTTGCCTACCCCTGGTATAGGCAAAACAGAACCACAGTGCACCAATCTCTCCACGGAAGCAAAAATCGTGCTCATTCAAGTCACACTGAGAAATGCTGCAATGTTTTCTTTAGTGCACAGAACCACAAGTAGACCCCACCACCCCCCTTGCTATTTGCCCACACCCAACCTTTGCTGGTTGAGACAGTGAATGACTGTTCGAGGTCATCAATGGAGGCCTGCAGAAAGACAAGAAACACAGGGGAGGGGTGTTCATTATATCCCCGAATACATTTTTTTTAAAAAAAACAAAAAGCAAAAACCTACTTCTAAATGTATTTGGAACAGGCAGAAAAGCTACCTGAGAGCTTTTCAAGGACGCAGGTACTTTTCCTTTGAAAGTAGAAGCATGATAAGTTTTTTGTTCTACCGTACAAGGTAAGATGGATTCTTGAGGTATCTTTAATGTACGGTTGGACTGCTTTCCATGACAGTAGTCATGGCTAGGAATGGTCGTTAACCAAGTCAAACTACTCTTAATTCATCACAATTCTCTCTTTTGCATTTCAAAACAAATACTCAAGTGTTTTTTTTTACGCAGGCCATCGATCACCTTCTATAAACTTCCAGATGCTGGTTAAAGCCCTTGTGTTTTTATCTTCTATAAATTTCTCAATGGCTTATGTACAATTGGGATTAGGTGAGAGAGACCAAGAGGTTTTTTTTTACTACTATTGTATATAAGTACGTGTCCATAGGCATACACAGATAATTGTTTCCAGCTCTCTCATCCATCCTAAGGTCACTAAAGCACATGGGGTACACTTCATACTTGGTACTATCTACCACCCAACTTACAGAAAAATCAGCCACAAATCTTTTCTGAAAACATTTGCAATAGACTGCAAAAAATATGGTTATTTCTACTGACCTACATTTTCTTTAAAAAAAAACAATAACCCACCATCTCCCTGACCAATTTGGTCAATTGACCTACCATCCAATTATTTCTTTGACCCTAAGGTAAAAGTGCTCCACACTGTAAAACACTGAAAATAAAGCCCTCCATTTTGTCCCCAGCTCAGCACAAAATCTCAAAATATGGAGTGTTTTTTGTTTGGAGTTGTGAACACTAATAAAAGCCGTTTCAAGTTTTAACAATTTTGCGCGGGCCTGGAATTTTGGTGTACTTCTGGAAAAATGTACAACAGACATGTCAAACTCATGACGTCACGTGACGTCGCGCAACGCATCGGAGCTTTTTTGCCATTGCCGGCAATGGGCGTGGTTTCCCGATGACGCGTCTGGCCTGCGGGCCGGCAGTTTGACACTCCTGATGTACAAGGCTGAAGTATTCACACACTAAATGTTTGTGCAGAAGAAAACCATCGAAAGCAGCTTCCCATACATAAAAACAACTTAATATATTTTCATAAAATAGAATAACTCGCAATACTGTCCTAGGTCAGACATGTCAAACACAAGGCCCGGGGGCCAAATGGGGCCCGCAAAGTGGTTTCATGTGGCCCGCGAAGCCATCCTGGAAATAGTGAGGAAACGGCCCCTGCTGCCTTGGCCCTGGCCGGCCGGGAGCCAATGTACAATTTTGTGGTGGCCATCTATGCTGAAATGCATTCAATCTTAGCTCCACAAGGCCGTCTGGAAACAGCAAGGAATCAACCCCTGCCGTGTTGGCCCCACCCCATGGGTGCATGCTGGGGAGGTGTCACCCTTTGTGAGGAATGAAGAAATGCACCATTGCCTGGAAGCAAATGGCCCTTGCCTACTTCACATATCCGGCTTGATGGGCTCTGCCCTGGTCCCACCCCCTTCTGCCAGAGACCCTCAGATCTGTCCCACTCCTGCCCAGGCCCCCACAGGCACCCTTGACGTGAACGATGTAGAGCTGGCCACGCCCACCCAGTAGGCCACACCCACTCCATCCATGCCCACCCAGTAGGCCGTACCCACCCTGGCCACACTTACCCAGCCCCCCTGAGGGCAACCCCAATGTTGATGCGGCCCTCAATGAAATTGAGTTTGACACCCCTGCCCTAGGTCATTTCTAGAAAAGCATGCAACTATTGCTAAGTACTGAGAACATGTCATAAATTAGGCCCAGAAAATTATAGTTGCCTACCTGCTCCTCTGGGTCACTTTCTGTATCACACTGTCAAGGAACAATGGAGAAAAAGAAACAGATGTCAAATGGAGCAATATAATGGAAAATATCCCTCTCTGGATCTTTGCTATTCTATACATACAGTATCTACTACAAACTATAGGTTTTACAGTATGACAGCAAGCTAGGTCTTACTGCATCCAATATAAAATATTATAAAGAGTATTAAGAGCACAAAAACATTTCTAAAAATTGTAGAACGCAGGAAGAATGATCTGCTATTACTGTCCAGGAAATTAGTCAAGATACCCCAAGAGACCCTTAAATGCATTGGAATCTATTATTTTAAAAAAATCAAAGCATGCAAATTGGCATCATTGCAAGAATTAACCATAACTAAGGGAGAGAATAAGCATTTTTAGCACCTTCTAGCTGTCCTATACACCAGGGCTTTTCAACCAGTGGTACGGGTACCACCTGTGGCACATTGGCACCTCGCAGGTGGTACGCGACCATCCTAGAAAAGTGGTAGCAGGGGAGGGGAATGAGCTGAACCAGTGGCAGCACTGCACAAGCCTGAGCGAGAGACGGCTGGAGCTGCAGGGCTGTCAGGGCTCAGTGGAAGCACCAGGATCAGCGCCAGGCTCCAGCTGGAGCTCGGGGCTGATCCTGGCCGCTTCTGCTGAGCCCAGAAGAAGCGCCGATCAGCTGGAATGTTGCAGCATCTCCAGGGTCTTGTGATTTACATTCAGATGCTTGGCAACTGATTCATATTTATGACGGTCACAGTGTCCCAGGGTCATGTGAAGTGACCAAAACCTGCTGCAACCACCCAGCAGACGGGGGGGGGGGAATAAAAACCAAACACCCCCCACCCCACCCCCAACAGAAATGCTCACAACAATGAAAACCTCGGATAGGAAGAAGAGCGCCGCCGGGTGGGCAGGCAGGCGTCTTGCTCGGCTGTGGCTTGGGGGGCACTTTTTTCAGTGCCATTGTAACTTCGAACAGTTACTAAGCGAACTGTTGTAAGTCGAGGACTGCCTGTACTTTATCCCTTTTTTCCTTTTTTTTAAATGGGT